CTGCAAGGAATGGGGCTCCTTCCTCTCTGGTTTCGGGATGCATCACCCGAGAACCGCCGCTGCCAAGTCACTGCAGTTCAGCAGCTCCTGCGTTGAGCGTCTGCCCCCTGGTGGTCAGTGCGTGTCATAGTGACCGGTTGGACGGTCAGACACTTAGCATATTAGTCTTTTATATATAGATATATTTTTTAATTGTTTAAAGTATTACATATGTCTCCTTTTCCCCCTGATTGACCCCCCCTGCCACTCCCACCTCCCTATATGTTATTTTTTTAATATTCTCTTCCTTCCATTTCCCCTGTTCGTTCTGGAAATTCTGTTATTCAGATATTGAATCAACCCTCTTATCTGTTATTTCCCATTTCCCCTCTTATCCTTATTTGGTGACCACTATGTGCCATTCATTATTCTAAGTGCTGGGGATATAAAAGGGAACAAAACTGAAACCCCTGCTCTCATGGAGTCTAAATTACATTTTAGAAAGCGATAAGTATTATGGAGAAAAATAAAATTAGGGAAAGCCCAGCTGGTGTGGCTCAGTGATTGAATGTCAACCCATGAACCAAGAGGTCACTGGTTCGATTCCAGGCCAGGGCGGCACATGCTGAGTTGTGGGCTGGATGCTCAGTAGGGAGCATGCAGGAGGCAACTGATTGATGTTTCTATCTCTCTGTTTCTCTCTCTCTCTCTCTCTCTCTCTCTCTCTCTATTTCTCTATCTCTCTAACCTTCTTCCTTCCTCTCTCTCTAAAATCAATAAGAACATATTAAAAAATAAAATTAGGGAATGATAGGCAGAAAGAACAGCATATACTAGTACCTAAGCCAGTAAGTGGAGCAGGCTGATGCAGGAACAGGCCCATGGGATGAAGGTAAAGCCTGGAGGTCAGTGTGTCCAAAGATGTGGGAAGCAGGATGCAGAGAGGAAAATGAAGTCTGAAAGGTAGGTGGCCTTTACACTGTGAATGACAGGGAAAGCCACTGGAGGTTTGGAGCAGGGGACTGATGTGATCTGACTGACCTTTTTACAGGATCACTATAGCTCCTTTTTTGAGTGTAGGCGGTCAAGATGGAAGCAGAGCACTTAGTAGCTATTGAAATAAAGAGAAAGTAAAGGTGACTTGGTCCACCTTTTTACTGTTTTCTGGGAGATTTCCACAACTTTATTTCTATTCTTCTATTGAATTTTTTATTTCTGCTTGAGAAATTTGAACTTCCAAAACTTACTTTTTTTCCTTCTTATTGAATTCATTGGGGTGACACTGGTTAACAGAATTATACAGGTTTTAGGTGCACAATTCTACAACACATAACCTGTACACTCTATTGTGTGTTCACCACCTCAAGTCAAGTCTCCATCCGTCCATCACCATTTACCCCCCTATAACCTCCTCCACTCCCCACCCCCCATTTCTGGGCCATCAACACACTGCTGTCTGTGTCCATTAATTTTTTTTTTAAAGATTTAATTTTATTTATTTTTTTAAATATATTTTATTGATTTTTTACAGAGAGGAAGGGAGAGAGATAGAGAGTCAGAAACATCGATGAGAGAGAAACATCGATCAGCTGCCTCCTGCACACCTCCCACTGGGGATGTGCCTGCAACCCAGGTACATGCCCTTGACCGGAATCGAACCCGGGACCCTTCAGTCCGCAGGCCGACGCTCTATCCACTGAGCCAAACCGGCTTCGGCCATTAATTTTTTTTCTCTTTTGCTCTATCCCTCCTTTTAATCCTCACCCAAGGATTTATTTTTTTATTTGAGAGAGAGAGAGGAAGGGAGAGGGAGGGAGAGAAAGAGAAACATCGATGTGAGAGAGAAACATCAATCAGTTGCTTCCTGCATGCACCCTCACCAGGGATTGAATCCTCAACCTGGGTATGTGCCCTGACCAGGAATAAAACCTGCAATCTTTTGGTGTAGTGGATGACGCTCCAACCAACTGAGCCATACCAGCCAGGGCCTCAAAGTTACTTATTCTTTTTTTGCATCCCTTGTTCCCTGATGTGATCTTATAGTTTCGAGAATACTGATTATAATTCTTTTAAAAAGATCTTTCATTGTTTTTTTGTGTTTTGTTTTTTTTGAGAGAGAGAGAGAGAGAGAGAGAGAGAGAGAGAGAGAAAGAGGAGAGGGAGAAAAACATTCATGTGAGAGCAAAACATCTATCAGTTGTCTCCTGCATGCCCACTCCTGGGGATCAGAGCCCACAACCCGGGCATTGGCATGTGCCCTGGCTGGGAATGGGATTGAAGTGCACGGGAGGATATGCAACTGACTGAGCCACCCCTGGCCCAGGGCTGGATTTATAATTTTTTTATGGTTTCTTTTTATGCTTCCATTATCTCTGACTCCTCTGAATTCCTTTTCCTGTTTGCTTTTGGGGTGGGGGTGTCTTTATCTTTCTTGTTACAGGTTTCCTTCAAATGTTTGATAATCCTTGGCTACCCATTCTTTTTATTTCTTATTTTTTAATATATTTTTATTGATTTCAGAGAGGAAGGGAAAGGGAGAGAGAGATAGAAACATCAATAATGAGAATCATAGATCAACTGCCTCCTGCACACCCCCTAGTGGGGGTCAAGCCCACAATCCCAGGCAGTTGACCTTGACCAGAATTGAACCTGGGACCCTTCAGTCCGCAGGCCGATGCTCTGTCCACTGAGCCAAACCAGCCAGGGCTTGGCTATCCATTCTTACATAACAAACAACTGAGTGGAAGCTCTGTATAAATGGGGCTACTTGAATGATGGGCTCTTCTGTGGACTATTTGGGCAGGAACATGACCTTTATGTTGGGGAGACCCTACCCCTCACTCCATTTTTTAAAAATATATTTTATTGATTTTTTACAGAGAGGAAGGGAGAAGGATAGAGAGATAGAAACATCAATGAGAGAGAAACATCAATCAGCTGCCTCCTGCACGCCTCTTACTGGGGATGTGCCCGCAACCAAGGTACATGCCCTTGCCCGGAATCGAACCTGGAACCTTTCAGTCCGCAGGCCGTCGCTCTATCCGCTGAGCCAAACTGGTTAGGGTTCCCTCACTCCACTTTTTTGGTACATGTTTTTTCTCTGTAAGCCAATTTCCTAAGAGGGATCTTGTGGCCTTTTGCCGGGAGAAACACCACTCTCTGACCATAATGTTGGCTGTTACCGAATCTTCCCGTTTTCAGCATGGTCTCTCCTTCCTTAGCTGTGCCAGGTATATTAAAGTCTCTCTGGTTTAGCTTTTCCCAGCAAAGGAGAACCCTCCAGTTTCTGGGCAAGGGATTTAGATTCTAACTGCTCTCCAAACTGCCTTGTAACCAACCCTGTTTTCAGTCCCATCTACACCCTCACGGTACCTGGTGATTCCAATTCCTGAGCATTTCTAGTACTCCTCAGCATTAATCAACTTGTTTCCTGGTTTCCCCACTCCAGAACTTCGCTTTCTCTATTCTATTAAAGCCATTTCCATTTACCTATGCTTTTCAGCTTCCAAAATGTTGACATCTCTTGTCTGCTATTGTCCCTTCTTCAGGTCTCCGTCTATGTGAATTTATGCTCTTTTCATCCTTTACTGTCATTTTAGTGGGGTTGGTAAAGGGAAATGGGTAACTGTGTCACGCCGAATCAATCTGCCACATTTACCCTCAAGTCTCTTTACAATATATAAATTGTGTGTTCTGCCTCTCCTAGGTAGGGAGCTCTTTTCACCACTTAGAACTGTATTCTGCTTGGACTGGGGTAGGATGAGGCAGAGGGTAACAAAAGAAGATACACACCCTTCCTCCAAAAAATTACATTTCATTTGACTCTCTCAGGGTGGGTAAGGGCCATTTTTCCATTGTGTGATTTCTCTCAACTACTTTTTTCAAAAGCAGGGAAGTCCTGCTACCCATCCTGTGTTTTATGTATTTTGGCTAAGAGAGCAAGAGGGCTGGGTGGGGTCCTCAGGAAGGTCATAAAATAGGAAAAATTGATTCATAACCCATACAAAATTAGTGCTGGGCATGGGCAGTAGAGATTACCAAATCCAATTTCCTTACTTTATAAAAAGGAAACTGAAGCCCAGACAGCTTTAGTTCATTTGGATCAACTTTGGTCACTCAAGAAGTAACTCTTCTCAAATGATCGCTTGAAAAATGCCAAGTTCGTAGCAGTCATTGGGTCTTTGGTTTCCTCTGCCCTAAGGCGTGGACCCATTGCTGTTCCTCAGGGAAAAAGGTCGTTTCAGAGGTCGTCCCGCTCCTCACTGTACCTAGTTTTACTGCATGTAGCACTCGTTAATACCTGAAATTATGTAATTATTTTATTATTTATCTGATATTCCTCACTGGAATGTAAGCGCTATGAAAGAAGTTATCGTTCCTGTTTCGTTCACAGTTTAATCCTCAGGAGAACTGGGATTTGAAGCTAAGAAGTCTGGCTCTAAAATCCGCGCTTTCAGCCACTATATTATGCTGCTAAGAAAGCAAAGGCGGCCCTAACCGGTTTGGCTCAGTGGATAGCGCGTCGGCCTGCGGACTACAGGTTCGATTCTGGTCAAGGGCATGTACCTTGGTTGGGGGCACATCCCCAGTGGGGAGTGTGCAGGAGGCAGCTGATCGATGTTTCTAACTCTCTATCCCTCTCCCTTCCTCTCTGTAAAAAGTCAATAAAATATATTTTAAAAAAAGAAAAAAGAAAGCAAAGGCGGAGCTTCTGCAAACCCAGGGAAGCAGGAGGTTAATGAAAGATACACACAGGAAAATCAGCAGGTGGAAAACATCCGGAGGCGTGCGTACCGCGCCCCCTGTGACCTTTCTCTCCGGAAGCACTTGCCCTCCCCGGAGCGAGTGCGCACGCGTTGTACCCGCGGTCGCCCCGGGAGGTGCGCCGAGCGGACCCCGAAAGGGAAAGGTTCCGCCTCTCGGGCTGAAAGGCGCATGCGTCTCGGGGGCTCCGGATTAGGACCCACCTTCTCGCTTCCTCCCTCCCTAGCCGGCGCGCGCAGGGTGGGCGTGGGAGGAGGCGGGGAACTGGGGAGGGGAGCGAGGGGGCGGGTGTCGCGGGAGAGAAGGAGCGAACCGGAGAGCGTCGTTCTGAGAGCAGTGAAGGCGGCAAGATGGCGGACCGCTTCTCCCGCTTCAACGAGGACCGAGACTTTCAGGTAAACACGGGCGTCGCCGAAGATCCGGGGGAGGCGCTGGCCGAGCTGAAACCTTCTTCTCCTCCGCTCCTGGCTCTTTCCGTCCAGGTTCCGCTCCGGCTTGCCAACCGGCTCGCTCTCCTCCGCCTCCGATTCGTCCGGGGGCCTCCAAGCTTGAGTCGAGGCCGCATCTAACCCCGTATTCTCCTGCCTCTTAAACTCAGGCCGCCGGGTTTGCGGCTTCGGCCTATTTGGGCTTCGGAAGCCCGGCCTGACCGCTGCGGGGTCTGTGCTTCCCCGGGTCTCCCCTGCCTGCGGAGGCACAGGGCTGGCTCCCCGGGGACAAGAGGGTTGGGTCGGAGGGTTTGGGAGAATATTACTAGACCAGAGCTTCCGAACCCCTGGGTTTTGCTTGCACGGCTTTTTTTGGGGGGGCAGGGGGACGGAGGGGGTCCTCCTCTCTTTAATAAATAAATTACTTTTATTGTGTTTCCGATTCCTCACCCGCAAAAGGGTGCTTTAGTTGTTAGACGCCTTCTTAGTCAAAAATTGAGATTTCCCGGGCCTAACTGTTTTGTTATTATTCTTAGGCCGTTATTTGGGCCTGAAAAACAGTCAGTTATAGGACGTGAGTTTCGCCCCAAATTTTACCTCGAAAGAAGATTCATAAGAAGCAGAATGATAATGGACTTTGCAAGCGTGTTGTAACTAGTGCCCAAAGCTTGATTTTTCTTTTCAGTTGCAAATACCGTATAGAAAAATGCCCTTGTGCTGGCAGGCATTATTGAGAAAAAAAAAAAAAATAAAGGCAAATTAGAATAACATCGTTCGGCTGTTTAAAATACCTTCCTGGTGCGCATTGTTACCACAGAAATCTCGGCAGTTAAAAGGGATTTAGTAGAGATTGGCTATTTCTAGGATAAAATACATCCTCAGAGTCTCAAAGAAACCACTGCATTACTACCGCATATCCTGGCAACAGCAATTTGAGTCAGGGGATGAACCTCTCAAGTTCTTTTCCTGCTGCAAATCTTCCTCAAAGTAATATAGGGAATATTCCAGATAGGTTTCAGAAGGCAGTTTGAAGGGTTTGGATTCCCTGAGGTGATTGGGTTGGTAAGTAAGCAGGTTAAACCAACACTGGACAGTTTAGTGCGTTGAACGCTTAAGAAGTTTTGCAGCAGTCAGGGACCTGGGGCTGTGGGAAGCCTGCGATCATGCGCCTGCTGTACCGCTCGCTGCAGCACCACACAGGCGCTCAGGGTGCCTGAGGATGTGTCATGCAGGCCGTTTGGTCCCGGGAAAGGTGGGTCTGTAGCAAGCACCAGGGCACATGAGTAGGCTGCGAGATGTGTGGGCTTTATTCGTAATTTTTAAAGGGACATGTTGATACCGAAAACCCTCAAGTGCTTTTCAGAGGAGAAAATTTCAAGGTGACCTAATAAAATTTTAAATAGATAACATGAACAATTGAGCTTTGAGGGAAAATGGCTGTCAACCACATAATTTCAGCAGACTTAAACAAACAAAAACAGGATTTCCAGGGCCTTGAAAGATTTTGAAAACTGGATGGCCTAGTATGAATGCTGTCACCTGAAAAAAAAATTGAGAAAGCCTCTACCTTTTCAAGTGAGATGACTTTCTTTCTTTCTTGATGCTGAGGATACTACATATATTTTAAGTATATTTTCTCGTATATTGGAATAACCAATGCGTGCTGTATTGAGTCAGCCAGGGAAATGTTGGTTGTTTTTTTGAATCCTCGTCCAAGGATAGTTATTCCATTGCTTTTTAGAGAGTGGAAGGGAGGGATGAAGGGGGAAGGAGTGAGAGACATGGGATGTCACCCCCCCACCTGTGTGTCCCCTGACCCGGGCAGGTATCTAACCGAGGTGTGTGCCCTTGACTGGTAGTCAAACCTGGGACCCTTCGCTGCAGGGGCCGACTGTAACCACTGAGTAACACTGGGCAGGGGTTGTTTTTTTTTAAAGTCAGATATCCTAGTATTATGGGTGGGTAAATAGGGCATTGGGAATGAAACCTTTTAGACAATTACAGGATGTTAAAAATTTTGTAAGTTATTGTGCTAACATTCCAAAACATTCATTTAAAAATAAAGTATTTTTTACTAAAGGGAAAAGTATAGATAGATTTTCATTAATGATGTCCTTTGATTAAAGTTATTGGAGAGAAAATGTAATAGGACACTCCTGCATATAATATAGTATACCAAACATTTTGAAGGTCAGGTTATTCAAAATTAAATGTGGCCTCCTTTTAAGATTTTAAGTGATAAACAAGGTGAAGCCACTGAATACACTTGAAAACAAATCCAAAGTAGGTTTCCAAACACAGTACACAGATCCTGTTGCTTTAAAAAGATCTTACAGTAATGGAAATTTTTCCGTGCATCTTCTCTGGTAAGTTCTAGATGGCTATCATTTTCTTTGCCAATTTACCATCAAGTGCAAATTTTGAAGACAACGTCAAGTTGTCTTTTGAACTTAGTATGGAGTCCGAGGTGGGTTCACTATTAGATTTTGTGAACACCTGAAGTTTCAGAGGTGTGTCAGGTATAGTGAGGAGCATAACTGTGGTATGCCACTTGAAGTACTTGTGAATATAAAGAGTAATTATTATTAGGGATATACAGTTAAAAGTTTTCTAAATTAAATTTATTGGGGTGACATTGATTCATAAGATTATAGTGGTTTTAAAAGGCTTTGATAACTTTATAATAATAAACAGGTACTATTCTACAGACTACATGTATTATCTCAATCTTTACAATAACCCTTCGAGATAGCTACTATTACATTTTCAAATGAGGCAGGTGAGGCAGAGTTTTAAATACTTTGGCCAAGCACTGGTACACAGCTGGTTTGGCAGACTCTGGATTTAGACTCTGGCTTTTTAACTCTTGAACCTGTGCTCCGGACCATTATCTCTACTGCTAATTATATGTTTTATATAACTAATTGAGTCATCAACTGTGGAGGATAAATTTATAGGTCACAAAGAACAAATGAGCTTTTAGAGAGGTGATTCAATTAGTTTTACTCTGTTCTAGTTTGTTCAGATCTGTTGATCTCCCAAGGACTTCTAGGGAGACTCCTGTTGCACTGTTATAGTGGATATATTAACTGTTGTTTTAGTTTAGACATTCTTTTGTGTAGCCTTTTTGAGTGGTATTTCATCTTTGGAAATCTTTAGGATCTATGCTGATTTTTTTTAATGCTTTAAGAGTTTTAACTACTTTAAGAATCTGTCCTGTTTCTGAATGAGACATGCCTTCTGCCTACATTTATCAGATTAAGGCATATTTATTCACAGATTGAAATGTTATGCAAACTAATGGAAAATACATACTAAAACTTAGAATATAGATGTATTCAACACTTTGACTAATAGGTTCACTAAAGAAAGTTTTATTTGTACAGTGACTTACAGCAGTAACGTGTTAAACACACAGCTTAGCATTTAGTGGTTGCACAGCTATTAATGGTAATGCAGCTCAGTACTAGTGAGGAAATGTTCTTCAATTTGTATACCTAGAAACATCAATAATGAGAGAATCATTGATCTGCTGCCTCCTGCCCGCCCTCTACTGGGGATCCAGCCCATAACTGGGGCATGTCCCCTGACCAGGAATCCAACTGTGACCTGAACTCCTGGTTCATGGGTCGATGCTCAACCACTGCACAACACGGGCCGGGCTGCACTAGATTTCTACTGAAAAGGAGCTATGATAATAGTGAGTGGTAAAGTAATGAGAGAAATACATATTATCTTAAAGGTCACAATTAAACTATAAAAATTACCCAAGAACTTTATATACTCTGTATAAGTAATCATGGTGATAAATAGCAATAAGTCATGTATTACTTTTACGTAAAAGTTTGTAGGATTCCTCCTTGTGTTTCATATATGATATCAGGATGTGACCTTTAGATAATTATTTGAGACCATTAAATGAGGGTGTTTACAGTTTAACAATACTTAGGTCATAAAAGTGTATCAATATTTTCTTTGTGGTACTATAGAGTTGGCACTCTGATTAATGTAGGCATGCTAGAGATGATACATGGGCAAGTGCTTTAATCTCTGTTTTCTGGGTCTCTCTCCCATCATCTGAAAGAGAGAGATGCCACTAGCAATGAAAATCAATGTTAGCCTTGCTTGAGATACTAAAACTGATGCAAAATCATAACTATTCTCTTTCTTGTGCATGGTAGGTGGAAAGAATTGGAACAAAGGCCATACAGATTTCAAAATACTGATGATGAATCAGCATGATTATAAACAAATTCAGAATTATTGGTTACTATATTCTCAGGGGATCAATAGTGACCAAATAAGGTCAGCATAAGGAAAGGCTCCCTGGTGATGATTTGAAGCAGGGGTCTTCAAACTACGGCCCGCGGGCCACATGCAAATACAAATATTGTATTTGTTCCTGTTTTGTTTTTTTATTTCAAAATAAGATATGTGCAGTGTTCATACATTTGTTCATAGTTTTTTTTTTAAACTATAGTCCGGCCCTCCAACGGTCTGAGGGACAGTGAACTGGCCCCCTGTTTAAAAAGTTTGAGGACCCCTGATTTGAAGGGTAAAGGATATATACATTTAAGATAGAAGGAACTTAAAAACATGGAACATATCAAGGAATAACATCAGAGAGAAAGATATAAGTTGTACTGTTGGAGAATGGGGTTGACAAGAACTGTGCTTATAAGGCTTCATGTGATGGTATGCTTGCTTGTTTTCAAGGTAGGCATGAGAGACCAGGAAGAAACAGATCTAGACAGATATACTTACTATTTGGCTGATTATTACAGGGGCTTTTCTAATGCCATCAACATTATAGAAAAAATAGCTGTCATGTTGTATTCTTTACTTGTATTCTATATTTGTCACACAATTCTCAGAGTACTGCAGAGATACTTTTTTTAAATCACATTTTCTTATGTCTTTAGAAGTTATATAACCAGAACTAAAATTTGTGACTTACATTTATAAAA